TATATATATACATTTCATATTTCTTATCATGCGAATTCCCTTGGTATTAGGCTGATGAGTTCCGCTGTTATTTATTGCGATTTCCTAAAACTTTTTGTTTAAAGAAAAGCTTAAACTTAAAGTCACTACAAAATTTAAGTGGAATCAGCTGCACACGCATACGCACACACAAGCGTGCCTCAAATTTCAAATAGCATTTACAATTTAAGTTTTGTTTTTTTTATGCCTTTTCTTCTACTTCTGCCTACTCTTCTTATTCTTCTTCTTCTCATTCTGACTAAAAGTCCATGCAAAATCAAAACGCAATTTGTTGCCGGACAGCTTAGCCGCAGGCTGTGCCATAGGTGAGGGGTGTGGGTGGGTGGGTGTTGGTGCTTCGGTGGGTGTGTGTGTGCGCGTGTGTGTATATATATGTATAACAGAAGTACGTCACGGGCACATATGCGCGCTGTTTTACGTACAGTGAAACTAAACAGAAGAGGATAAAAGAGATGAACAAGGAACTATGGGAAGAACAGAAACAAAAACAAACTCTCATGAACTGCGCCTGGATAAAGGAGCCAGTGTGGAACCAGTGTGACGAGCTGATCAAATTAGTTCCGGAAACCATATGGAGTCAGTTCAGTCCATATGGAGTCAGTTAATCTTGAGTGCCTCAGCTCCGTTCCCTTTCCCAAGAGAAACTGTTCCTTAAGGCGAGTCTTTACTGTATTGCTGCCTCTGGCAAAAATTACGCATGCTTTGCACTAGACGCTGCTCTTATGCTCTCGTAGTGTCCGAAGCTGAGGGTCTGAGTGGGTCTGCATGGGCGGGGGTGACACGCATGGGCGGTGGTAGTTGGGCGGTGGGGGTTGGGGGGTTGGGGGGTTGGCTTAAAATGTGCGAAAGCATAAGCCTAAGCTTTTTTATCGTCTCGACCAGGAGGCCAGCCAGGCAGGCAGCAGATGAAAAATGAAAGTGGTCCACACACAAATTCAAGTGTGTGTATATAGCTGTGTCGGTGTGTGTGTGTGTATATATATAGTTGAAAGTTTCAATATTGGCATAGGGTTACGACTGTTGAGTGGAGCGAGGTGGGGGGACGTTTGACTGGCAACGAGCTCTGGCGCCTGTGCTGAGCCTCGCTTCGGCTTCGCTCTGTTTGCCAACTGGCCAAAAACGCTTACAGCACACACACATACACACATACACGCATATGTAAATTGTATTTTACATATAAATATATATACACATGTGTATGTACATTATTTATGCACACATACATTGGCATTTTTAGCTCATGCTTTGAAAAATGCGTTTTATTCAAACGGAAGCGGAGCTCCTGGACGCAGGACACACAGCAGCAGCAGCAAAAAAAAAAAAGCCAGGATATCGTCGTCGCCTCTCTGCCTGTCGCTGACAAGGCTGAGCAGAAGACGGGGACGTAGCCGGAGAAAGGGGCAGGAGGAATGAGGGGCATGTGTGTGTTGAGCGGCTTTCAAGGACTTGTGCGTATATGTAAATATATTTAATCTATGAAAAATTTACATATACTATTGTATTGGATCAATATGTTATTGTTATTCTAGTTGTTGTTGTTGTTGTTGGTGTGCGCTACACAGCAGCAAAAATAGACATAAATCAGTGTTGGGCAATGGTCATTTGTGTGGTCAATTCGTCAAAACTGATATTCAGTTAGCTCATTGACCATGGAATCGATGGCATTTAGTGTAGAGTTAAGTGGAGACTTTCTAGAATCGTAAGACATTATTTTGGAGAGTAGCGTACAGTCTAGAAGATATGGAGAATATCAATTGAGTAGTGTAGAGAAATCTATTTTAGTGGAGACCTGTGTAGAGTTGTGTAATACGATATATAGGTAATATAGAGCTTTTATTTAATGTGTCGAAGTTAAAGTTGTGGAAAGCAATTAGATATAGGGGAGTGTAGAGTTGTTAAAACTGGTGTAGAGTGTAGAGTGGTGTAAAGATTGGCGTAGAGCTTTGTAGAGTTAGACAAAAGTAAGGCTGAGCTCAGTTTTAGCAGAGAAAAAAAGAAGCGGATAATGCAGATTACTGGAGACTAGTGTAGAGTTGTGTAAAGTGAGTTAATTGTAGTGAGTTAATTGTAGAGTTGTTAAACAGTATATAGGAGCTGTTAAAGTATAGCCTTACTCGAAGATGTATTAAATTTATGTAGCCTAAAGTAATTTTAGTTAGTGTAGAGTTATGGAGACTAGTGAATATCAGTGGGTAAAGAGTGAAAACTAGTGGTTGCTCTACTTCATTAAGTATTCAGCTTGTACTCATGTAGGGCATTCCAAGAAGTCGGCCAGGCCGGGTCTCCAACAACATCATCGCCCCTTCTAATCTAGTTCTAGTAGTTCTCGCACCCACACATACCAATTGTCACATATTCACACATACTCACACACACACACACACGCGCGCGCTTGCGAATTACTTGCACAATGAAAAGTTATGGGATTAGTTGGCGTGGAGGCCTGGTGGAGGAATATGCTCCAGCTTCCTGCCCTTGGGCGTACATGTATGTAAATGGGCCGTGGTCTCGGACGCATTGAAAGGGCATCGCAATCGTGCAGAAAACTTTTGGCTCTCTGGGGCAGGTTTTGCTTTGCCTTTTTTGCTATGCAAAAATGTTCTCTCTGTATGTGTGTGCGTGTGTGTGCTTGTGTGTGTGTGTAAGTGTGAGTGTAAGCTGCTTTTAGGCGCTGCTTACAGCGCAAAGCGCTTTAAAAGGTTTTTCGATTCAATGGACGCGCCAGAGAGAGGGAGAGGGTGGCAGTTAGAGAGGGAGGAGTGGCCGTTAACAGCAAACATATGCCTGCAAATGCGCCCCCTGGCGGGCAGTTCAATTAGCTGCAGATCAGCGGAAAGTGGAACAGATGCAGAGAGAGAACAGATGTAAGAGAGGCAGAGAGAGGGGGAACTTTGCAAGCTTCAGTTATTTTCATTAACAAAATACGCCTCTATACCACTCTGCTCTTTGTCTTCCGCTCTTGACCAGCCTCAATTTGATTAGCTTTCCATTTCGTAGGCGAATGCAGCCAAAGAGGAACAGAACAAAAACCCAACCAACACACATACACGCATACACACTCACACGCACACACGCACTCGAATGCTTGAAAGAAAAGGCAATCAAGAAAACATGAACTTGAACGGTTTTTCTACCTGCCTGTCGCATTATTTTCTGATTTTCCACTGGATTAAATGCAGGAAGGTGTGCATTGAAATATCTTTGTTCTTCTTCTTCGACTACTACCACTATTACTTCTACTACTATTTCTTCTTCTTGTTCATCTGCTTCTTCTTCTTCTTCTTCCACTCTTACTACTACTTCTCGCATTTCGAACAAGAATTTTCGATTTTCATTGTTCCATGCAGCAGCAGCAGTTGCCTCTCAGCCAAGCAGCGAGAGTGAGAGCGGGAGAGAGAGAGAGAGAGTGCACTCATTAACTTGGCATGCAATAATAAATTACAATAATTTGACATAGCTGAAAACGGCAGGGAGAACGGTGAACGAGACAGTCGGGACTGTCGGGACAGGCAGACGG